AGTGGAACCAGTGGACAGAAGAGTCGTAATTTACATGGCAGCCAGGCTCAGGATGGCCTTGACAGACCAGACATCGAGAAGTCCATCACATCACACAACACGCACTCATAGAGCCAATTAACTCATTTCCCACTATCCAGACACAGGCAGCAGCGTCATTATGGGCCCCTGTGTCTTCCTGAATCATTACAAGGTGCCTGTTTGAACGACATTTGGTATCACGGCGCCCATTATGTGTAATGCCAATGACACCCACCCAGCGATGCCTTCGTTTGGAGTGGTGTTTTGCATGACAGGACTGGACTTTAACGTAATGGAACCAGGATGTCTTCAGCGATAATCTAGATTCAATTTGACAAGTGATGACAATCGTGTTCATGTGTGGAGGCTCTGTGGTTAGCGCCTCAGTCCTGCCTTCGCTTTATAGGACACACCATTCCCACAGTTGGTGTGATGGTATGGGGTGCCATTGCTTACGTTACACGGTCACCCCTAATATTGATCCATGGTACAATGAAAGGCCAGCGGTACATCCATGACACCCTTCAGCCAAAAGGTATTGCCACTCATGGCAGGGCTCCCAGGAGCCTCTTTTCAACAAGACAATGCTGGGCTACACACAGCATGCATCTCATAAGACTGCCTCCAACACATTAACACCCTTACCTGGCCTGATCAATCCCCAGATTTGTCACCAATTGAGCATATCTAGGATCATTTGGGATGGCAAGTTGGACAGCCTACGAGATTTTCGAACTAGAGGCGCGTTTACAGCAACTGTTGAACGAGATGTCTCAGGACAACATACGGAACTTGCATGCCTCAATGTCCGCTTGTATCGCATCGTACATTCGAGCAAGAGGTGGTCCAACAGAGTACTAAAGCTCCCATTCATGTGTATTTTTTTCCTGCAATTAATGATCCTTTTTTCTTTGATTTTCTAATCACTTACTTATATCAAAGTAGTACTCACATATGTAAAACTTCATTTCATTCTGACAACTCTTTCTTGGTGTACAAATTTTTATGGCAATGAGTGTATTTGAAAGTATGAATGATGAACATTTTTCCGCATGTGTACAAAGAAAAAAAAAGAAAGGAAAATAGGTTGCAATAAATTAAGAAGTTTGCCAAGTGAATTATTCTTGGTGCAAACTGAAAGAAATGTGCCAAGTTAAATTCTTAAATTTCTCACCAAAAATTACAAAATTTAATATCTAGGCATGATTTGAGTTATAGAATCAAAATATGGAAAACAAACAGTATGTTATTTCAGAAAAAATCTGATTTTTATATCAAAATACATATGTTAGAACAATGTTATATATAAATCTAATATACATCCAAAGTCGCGCTTTCGAGACATGAAAAATGCAATTTGAATTTCATCAATCGACCCAGTAGAACAGAAGATATAGAACTGTCTCTCAAAACTGTTGCATACACAGGGTACTACAAGTTCTAATGTTGTGCATGAAAGCTTTTGCATACTGAGTACGTGTTTGCATGATATGGCATCACTGCTGGCTTCATTGTTGGCCCTTTTTTCTTTGAGGAGAGAGTTCCTCTAAGCTTTAAAATGTGTATCATGATGAGTACCCAATAATGTCAATTTTTGTAGCAACAAGTCATTTCTGCCTTAGAAGAACGAGAATGTTTAGAGACTACCGCCTTAATGCAAGATGGTACAAGTGGTAGTGTTGCCATATCGTGCGAGTTTTTGCAAATTTGCTACTTTTTATAATTTTGTGATACTAAAATTCATCTTTGCGATTTTATAAATTTTCTCTTACTTTATTGTTTCCTTGTGCTACAATTCTTTTTAATACATCATAAAATTATGTTAATATAAATTAGCTACTGAAGTTAATTTATAATTAAAAGTAATACTTTCTGTAGACTTAAATAAAAGTTGGTAACTGGCAATTCTGTGATCATAATTTATGAGGGCTGTGCACTCAATGCCAGAATTAATAGCTGGTATTTTCATGTTTTTCACTGATTACTCTTGTTATTTTGATGATCTATGAGTAGGATTCTGAAATATAAATCAGATGTTTTAACTAAAATATGAATGAATAATATGAAAACAATTAAAACCACTTTTCAAAATGGTTGGTTTAAAATACCCATGCTTGAGCATTGGCTGAAAAGAATGTAAAGAGACAACACAAAAGCTCGTTACAAGTTTCATAAATGTGAAGTGAGGGCACATAAAACTGATTTACTGATTTACTCAAAAAAAAAAAAAAATTATGTTTGAAAATGGATAATTCTTAAAGTGTAGGGTTCACTGTGTTTATTACATAATACAGTTTTTAATGAAAAATTTTTAGAATATCTAAACAAAATGCAGTCAAAATTTTAGAAGCTAAGACATGAATGTTTGTTCATAACTGAAATTACTAGTGTATCTAACAAATTTTTGAAACATCCTTCTTTATACTTTATTAAAACTGCATTCAAAAACTGAACATAAAGTTCTAAGAATTGCTTTTTTATTGAGTGTATATGTCATCGATTTTAATCTTTTCCATGATAATAATTTTAGTTTAGGTGATTCACAGAGAAAAATAAAGGAATTTATCTAAAAAGAATAACGGCATATATAATTTCAAAAATGAATACCAATTCCACTGTAAAATCTGAATTCAAGCTGCTTCACATTTGTCTAAATGGCGATTTAAAAAATTATTCTTTGAACTCTTGAAACACAGACAGTATTTATTGTATTACTGATAGAAGAGCCAACTCCATAAAATAACAGTAAAAAAGGAAAAAATATGATGAAATGAATGTAAAACAAATTTATGCATGTAAATGCTAATATTGGTTATTTTATTATTCTAGATTTTGTTTTTAAATAACCCCCCTCCTCCTCCAACTTCTAAAGTGATTTACCTATTGGTTTCTAGCCCATGTGCAACACATTCGGAATTCCTTTTCCCGATCATAATATTGCCAATAAATAAATAAATGAAATGACTAAAAATTCAAAGAAACACAAGCTTTTTAAAATAACAACATAAGCAAATTTAATGACGAAAAGAAGGTAGCTTTTAATTAGCAATCAGAATCTGATGATGTCTAACAGTCAGAACAAAAACTGAAAATCATTAATATTTAAAGTAAAACAAGAAACAATGAATAAAATTAAACCACCAAGTATTAGTGCACCAACATTAACAACTCAAACATGAGAAAGCACCTGACAATGGATATGAATAACTTCAACCCCCCCTCAAAAAAAAAGACCTAAATCAACTAAGAATTAATTAAATAAGAAGAAATGCAGATTTCTAGCAATCTGGTTTTAGGATTTTTGTCAAAAATAATTTATGTAATATAATGACCAAAATTCAAATTACAATCTACTAACTACGAAAGCATTGGAGACTGACTTTGTGATGACATCAGATGTCATGTGAGATTGTGAAAATATGACGTCATAAAATCACTTGATCTCTGATGTTGTGCTACTTTTTGCATTAATTCTTCTTTTACTGCTTTTAGTTAAGAAATTTCTGGCAACTCTGACTCCTGGTTGTGGGGATTCTTGAAAGATTGTGGCTATACAGGAAGCATAAAGATTCTATTTGAATTAAAAGGAAGCATAAGCCATGTTGCTACAATTCCTCAGGATACTCTTTGCACTACTAATGAACATGCTATAACATACTTTGACCATGTGATTAATGCAAATGGTCACACTGAATAAATGGCATCATTAAAGAAAATTTTATGCTTCCAATTTGTGTTTCTTGTTTATGCATCATCTTTGTGCCTGATGTCTGAAATTTCAAGTATTATTTTTTTAACACGAGAAACCTAAGTCCCAAGCATGTGAAATTGATAACTTGTAAAGATACTATTTGGACTGTAAATTTATTATCAGGGTTAAAACATAAGCAATTTTTGAATGGTGCACTGATTTTGAATATAGATAGACAAGTTGCTATTCAGTGGTAACTGCACCAGATCTTCTACAGAGTCCAGGACACATGAACTTACAGTTCTATTTTATAAAGGACATAGTGATGGACAATGCCATTAAATTAAAATATTCACGAACTGATAATATGATTGCAGATTTTCTTACTAAGAGTGTCAGTGATGAAAAATTAATGTATACATTGAAAATAATTTCTTTAATTTTTTAATGTAATGTATTATATATTGTTGTTCCATATGTCATATTTATATTGAAAAATGTTGCTTGCAAAGGAGGTGTTTAGTAGAGGTGAGAGAACTTTTTTCCTACGTATACACATGTTGATTATGTCACTTCTGCTGACACACCCTTTATGCAAGCATGCTGGATGTAGAGGCTACTGTGTGATGTATTATGTAATTTGCTGTGTGCTCTATGTTTTCTGTCCAAATAAAGCGTGGTGTACTATAATTTATGGATCCTTTACTGCATATATGAGCCTCTGAAAAACAATTTGCACACCAAATTTCATAATCATTGGACTATGATTTCAAGGTGCTCTAAAAAAAAATGCATCTATTTAAAAAATAAAGATGAAAGGAATTTGGTGATTAAGGTGCACATTTCCTACAAAATGAAGTTACTTGATAGTAAAGTACTTCAGAGTCATGTGTCTACATAACAAATGTTATCACGAAGAATGGCCTTGTATTTTCGCATAGGCACTCACATCCTTCTGAAAAATTTAACTCAGAAGAAACTATCAAGTGATCCCCAAACTTAACAACTTTGTTATTGATAAACTTAATGCTAAAGGAGAGGGTGATATTTCCATACTGTTGGCAGAATCTTACATTTACTTTTCCCTCATTCTATTATTTGATAAATGTCAAATTTTCAATATAAATGCTTAATATTGTATGTAATGAGCAAAATATACTAAAAAAGGTAAAGTTTTTCAATTGCTAATTAAACAAATGCTATTACAATTATATGGGTTGAAGAAGTAAGAAAAGACAACATTTTTCATTAAGAACTTAATTAGTTTCTTAAAAAATATGTAGCATACCCAACATTCAAATGGTCAACCAGTGCAGATGTTAATGTACTAGCAGCAACAACAGCTTCTTTCTTTTTCTTTTCTAAACCAAAGAAAGAAGTAAATTTATATTTAGTAATAGGCACAGGAGTAAATTTAATTCACAATTAAATAATCCATTATATATAATACAGTACAAAGTCCATAATCCGGACCTCAAAGCTACAAACTTTTTGCGCATGCGTAGCATTTACACATGTGCATATGCATTTATGCATGTGCATAATACCTTTTTGCATGCACATAATATGTTTACACATGCGCATTTAATGTATAACGGATGGTATAAGCTAGACTAAAATTATCTAATTATCTATTTCAGTTAATGTTGCAGATTGCGTTGTACCTTAATCTTCTAATTGGATCCGGCTTATTATTTTTTGCAGACTGTTAAAGAAATTTTATAAAAGTAAGCTTGAACTTTCGATTATGTCAAAAAGAGTTTCCGATTCTGGAGCTGCCAAAGGATCTACAAAGCGAAAGCATGTTTCGATGCCCATCAAACAAAAAGTGGAACTGCTGCAAAAAATGGATAAAGGCATGAAGAAAGTGACAGAGAGGTTAGTGAAAATGAAAAAAAATTTCTATTGACAAGTTAGTCGGTATTCTCGGCACAGCAATTACAGGACTTGAACAGCGTAACTTTGTATCTGAACAAGAAATTATGTCTGCTTATAGAATTAAAGAGAATGTATTAGCACATAAAATGAAGCAACTTAAACAACTTACATTGAAAGAAATGTTTAATAAAGTAAACAAATAAATATTAAGCTTTTTTTTTTTTTTTTTTTTTTTTGTAAATTTTGATACCCTTTAGATCATAATTGCTCTTTATTTCATAAATTACGGTTTCATATTTTTAATTTTATAATTTCTGCATCCCATCTTACCAGATTTAAACTGATGATCTATAATTCAGAAAAACCCCTAATCCGGAAATTGCTGAAGTCCCGACGAGTCCGGATTAAAGACTTTGTACTGTAAAAATACATAAAAAATATCAATATTTTTATACCTGAATATGGAAATCTGTTTACCTTAATTCTAAAGCCCAAATTACTTCTTAATTTACTTAAGCATCTTAATCACATCCATTACTTCATAGAAACTATTAAGTTACTTTTGGATATTGCAAATTATGCTAAACATGAAATTCCACCCAAAAATTGGATACCGCCCTTATGATTACATAATTTCAATAAAATTAGAATACAAAGGTATTCTAATTTCAGTTTAGGTTTCTAAGACACAAGAAGTCACTTTGGGCTTCTGCAACTGCCAACTTATTCATAAAGTATTTATGTATTACTCTGAAGTACTAAACTGATATGGTTGTGAACTGTTATTAGATATACCTTTGTATTCTAATTTTATTAAAAATATGCAATCATAAGAGGGGTATCTAACTTTTGGGTGGAATTTCATGTTTAGCATAATTTACAATAGCAAAAGGTATATTCGATTGTACAATTCATTTACTTCATCAAAAATAATGAAGTTTCTTCTTCACCCAATAAATGGCTTATTTTTAAATGTTTTTTTAAAGAAAATTTAATACATTATATTTGTACACAAATTGATCTTACAACTGTAAAAATGTTTTTGAAGTTATCCATAAGTTACTTTCTTTTCAGGTTTGAGTAAAATATATCATTTCACTGTAAACAAGTAATCTAAAAGATAAAAGTTAAGGTGCAGTATTATGTGCATTACCTTTTTTTATAACAAGAAGCTTTTGGCAGAATTCACAGGATAATTTGTGTACAAGCCTTTCAGCTGATGCTAAGACAAGCAAAAGCAATACTGGTATCAGATTGCTTTTTTACTTAATTTAAAAAATTTAGTATGTTCTTAGTTTTAAACAAATGATAATGAGTAAATTTTATTTAAAAAATTAAGGGAAAATGTTATTTTTATATAAAGGAAGCTTTTCTGTATGTGGTATTAAGACAAAATTTAACCTTAGATACTGAAGCTGATTTTATGGAATACTTCTAGGCATTTTAATGGCCTTATTCCCCTTTCCCCCAAATGCATGACTATTTTTCACACAAATTTTAATCAAGCCAAAGGTTTAACTTGATAATAATTGTTTAAAGAACACTTGCATAAGCATTAGCAAATTTTCTAATTGTGGAATTCAGTTTTCAAAACAGAAAATAAATACTACACGAAATGCAGTTACTTCAATGACTTTTAGACTAAAGTGACTTTATAAAATAAAATTTTAAACAGCAACTCTTCATTAATATATGAATGACCAATTGAAGTAATTATAGTTACATTTGAGAGTAAAAATCATAAAGCATAAAATATGTTTTAAAAGTTTAAAAAAATTTTCTTCTTTATTTCTATTAGGCTGATCTTTGGAATATGGTAACTGGTAGTTTGGCGACATTTTGGAGGTGATAAAGGACTTTGGTTACTACCTAGGATTGGTAAGAATGTGAGAAGTACTCAGTTCCGATTACGCATTATTTTGTGTGAGGAAAATGAGAGATTATGAGATATGTCATGTGACATTAATGGACGAATTACAGTTCTTTAATCGGAAAAGGGGGGAAATCTGGAAAAAATATGGAAATTTTGTATTTAGCTTTATTCTGTGTTGTGTGAAACAGTATTGGTTAATTTTTGGATCCCATGGCCCTAACTAAAGTGAATTCGAAATGGGTATTTAGTGGGATTGAAAGGGTGGTAATAAGTGTTTTTTTTAAGGTTGTGCGAGATAGAAGTAAAGATGTTTTATTAAGTTATTTATTTTTACCTGGTACCTTGCTGTGAACTATAAGTATGATTTTAAAGATCCTGAAACAGGCGCACATACGCTTGCTTTTTATTTAGCGGAGGAAATAAGAAAAGTTTATCGGCCACATAATCAAGATTCTGAAGAAGATTAGGTAAGTTAGTATTTTTAATTATTTGAGGATATTATTTTTATGCATTATTCTAAATGTAAGGAGTAAATAAAATAATATGGTATTATTGGAAAATTGTTATTAGCAGTGATTTTTATATTTTAAGTAGTGTTTTGAATTTGATTATATTTTATTTAAATGATTGTTATTTTGTGAATTAGATGTTTGTAGGAATTTGGTATAGGTTTCAGTGGAAGTAAACGTGCATGGAAATAATTTAAATATTTGACACTAAGTATTTGTAACCATTTATAATGTTTGAGGTATGAATTCGTTGGTGACGTTTATAATATAATAGATAATTTAGAGAAAAAAGTTTTTGGATATTTTATTTATTTTATACGTGGAAATGTTCATCTTTGGAAAGGGTATATACTTTTTCGCGATCAGGTAATTTCATATATGTTCTTTTTACCGGATTTAAAGATTCACAAAATTTTCATGCATTTTCGTGAAATTTTTCTAATTTATGAGAAAAAAGCAGTGTACATGGATATAGTGAAGAGTGTGCGCAATGCCATTTTTGTGCAATTCTGGGATATTTTTTTTAAGTAAAAATAAGTCAACGTGTACATGGTTTAGTGATATTTTAATTAAATGATAGTTATTTTGTGAATTTTATGTTTGTAGGAATTTGGTAAACGTTTCAATTGAAGTAAACGTGCATGGAAATAATTTAAATATTTGACACTAAGTATTTGTAACCATTTGTAATGTTTGCGGTATGAATTCGTTGGTGACATTTATAATATAATAGATAATTTAGAGGTAAAAGTTTTTGGATATTTTATTTATTTTATACGTGGAAATGTTCATCCTTGGAAAGGGTATATACTTTTTCGCGATCAGGTAATTTCATATATGTGCTTTTTACCGAGTTTAAAGATTCACAGAATTTTTTTTGCATTTTCGTGCAAATTTTTGTAATTTATGAGAAAATAGCAGTGTAGATGGATAAAGTTAAGAGTGTGTGCAATGCCATTTTTGTGCAATTCTGGGATGTTTTTTTAAGTAAAAATAAGTCGATGTGTAAATGGTTTATGTGTATGTGCTATTCTGAAAAACGCGCAAGGAGTTTGCGATTGTGCACTTTTTTCCCAATTTTGCAGTTAATATTTGTCATGATTAAGCAGTTTTGTTACATAAAATTTCTAGCATAAGTGTAATTCGGCTAGTAGATTGTTGGAAAAAAGTGTTCAGTAAATAAAAAAGAAAAGAAAAGAAACATGTCTTTACTTCGTGAAGACAAAATGGCGGCGAAAAAAAAATAGAGGGTTGCTGTAGCAGAGTTGGTTGACAAATTTTCGCCAAAAAATCGCCAAGTTACCATAATCCAAAGATCAACCTTTTATTATTATTTTTAGACACCCTCCCTTTTTTCAAGTGTGATACTTGGTCACCCTGTTAATCCTACATATATTATAACAAAATACAATTTTTTTATTATATTAGTTAAACATTTAAGTATCATTCAACAAAATAAATTAGATACACTACAAAGTCCGAGATCCAGACTCGTCGGGACTTCAGCGATTCCAGATTTCGGATTTTTCCAGGTATTAGATCATTAGTTTAAAACTTGTAAGATGGCATGTAGAAATTATAAAATTATGAATATGAAATAGTGAAGCATTTATTATCTAAAGGGTAATAAAATTTACAAAAAAAGCTTAATATTTATTTGTTGACTTTGTTAAACATTTCTTTTAATGTAAGTTGTTTAAGTTCCTTTTTTTCCTAATATTTACTTTCCCAGTGCTTTCTCTAAATTCCACAAAACTCGTCTTCCCTAAATTCTGCCCCGGAGCTGTGGCCATACGAGCTCTGGTGCCGCCAGTTCTGGATTTATGCGAAAAATAAATCAGTTATTCTTAATTCAAATAGCACAAAATGTAATCTTATTTTTTGGCCTATGAGTATCAATAATAAAATCTATTTTTAGCATATGGAAAGAAATTTTTGTTAAATTTTTTCTCGTTAGTATTTCTTAGCGCATTTAAATTAAATCTGTAATCATTGCCGAATGTAATGTTAACATAAAAGAAAGAGCATGGTAATCTTTTCTTCATAAAAAGTTACCATACTCTTTCTTTATTAAATTACTATTATAAAAAAAAATTGTTTG